TACCCTAGCAGAGAGGCAAATCTCCCAAGTGGTCATTGTAAATCAAGTATAGGTAACAGCACAGAGTTTTTGTAAACATATTTGTGGCTCTGGTCCCTCTGACAAACTGAACTGTGTCCATCTTTTGTTAGGCATGCTTGCAGAGGACTTCCCCCTTTCCTGGTGTCTTAGCAGGGGTTCTGCAGAGGCTGACCCCAAGTAAGAATTTTAGTGCAGATAGTTTATCTGAGGGATGATCCTAGAAAGCATGGTAGGAATATGAGAAAATGAGCCAGAGAAAAGAAATCAATCAATAAAGAGTATTTGCTCAAGCCAGCCACCACTGTGGACAACTGGGGCTCAATCCCAATGGGGAATTCTAGAAACCCCAGGCAGAGCAAGCCCCATGCAGAGCATGCCTGTCTGACAGCTCTGTCAGTCACAGGTGGAGAGCTGCTTGGTGGTGGTGTCAACTACCAGCTTGGTACAGAAGGGGGCAAAGAAGACTTCTTAGTCTAGAGAAAGCCCTTAAGCCAAGAAACACAGATCCTGGGCTTTGAAAGTGGGCTTCTGTTCACTGACATATAAGGGCATGGGATGTGGGCAGGTGCTGACAACACGTGCTGCACTTGGGCAGAAGAATCGCCGTCCCCTTAGGCCTTTTACTCAGGTCTGAGTTAATAATCAATGCCTTAAGGAAAATTATCTCCTGGGCAAAATGGTTTTGAGGGTTTTCTTCCACCTTGATTTCTCCCTTAGTCAAGAGTGGCTTTGTAGATCAACAGGGTATGTCAGTGCCTAAATAATGCACCTTCAGGGGACTTGGAAGGACACTTGTATTCTAGAGTTTTTCCCTCCCTGGGACATGACACCTCAAATTTCAAAGTTCATCAGGTAGTGTTTGTCCCTCAGTTAAATTACATATTTTCTGGGGGCACAGAAAGTCCATTACAAACTTAACCCTCATTCCTCTAGAGTGAATGAGCCCATTGAAATGCTTTCTGAAGATGTTTGATACAGGAGGGGCAATGGATGAGAGGGGTGTGTGATATAGGAAATGTGGTGTATATTTTGTGTGCATATGAGTGGTCTCTGTGTTAAGTGTGTGTTGTGGTATGTCTGAATGTGTTCACATGAGGACTCTGGCAATCAAACATCGTACATGAGTATGTGGGTTTCACTGAGGGGAGTTCTAAGAGCTTCTCCCTAAGGACTCTTTCACTTTGACCAAGAGTCCCTTCCAGTGTCTTATTTTGCAATGCTTCTGGTTCTCTCTTCCCTTCATCCAAAGCTGTTGAATTTCTGCTGCTTTCAGAGTAGCTTCAACTGTAGCTGCTCCTGACTGGGCTGTGAGGGCAGCTCTGAAGTGCTCTTATATTCTCCAGAGACCAGGAGAAAAGGCTCAGGCTCTGAGCCAGGAGTCCAGGTACCATGAATGCTGCCTAATTTAAGTGAAGAAGGCATAAAACAAGTGCCTTAAGGAAGAAGACCAGACATTTCCAGAAACTTAAAGCAACTGAAGGGAGTGTGCCTGAAGAGTTAGATAGAGTAAACTGGGGAATTATCTATTTCCTAACCATAGTGCCTGCCTTGTTTTCAATTTCCGAACATCCAGAAAGCATTCCTATCTTGTCCTGACAAGATAAAGAGTGTCATGATCTTTCAAAACTGAAACCACTGATGCACCCGAACCAGTGGTTCTCAACCCTTGACACGCACTGGGATCACTTGTGGGGTTGATGCATCCTGGGCATCAGAATTTTTAAATATCCCTAAGCAATTCTAATGTGTAGCCAGGGCTGATAGCCACTGCACTGAGCTACCTCAAGTTCAGAGAGAGGATTTCGGAGAGTGTCCCGGCTATTGTTGCCGTGCTAATTGTCACTTTAAAGTTAACATCTCCGAAACGACATTCATGATTTACTTCTACATATCCAAATCTGCTCCTCATAAAGTCTTCCATTTGCTTGGCGAATAAACCTTGGAGTCATCTCTTTCATACCACATATTCCATCTGTCAAAAAATGCTGAAAGCTCTGCCTTCCAAATGCATCTGGGAAATGATCCCCTCTCATCATCTATACCTTTACCACCTGGTTCAAATTAACAGTTGTTTGCTCTCCTGTATGATTGCACTAGTCTCCTAACTCATCTTCTACATTTGTGTTTCTCTCAGTCACAGCTCATGCAGAAGCCAGGTGGGCCCTATAAATCCTAAGAAATCACATCCTTCCTCTGTTAAAATTCCCTTCAATAGTTTCTTTTCCTACCTGGAGTAAAAGCCTGAGTCTTGCACATTCCTATGTGACCCTCTCGCAGCTACAAGGAGAGGGGATCCTTCTATGGAATAAAAGGTTTTATTAAGACAGTATGAGAGTTGCAGGGGGAAACAAACTTAAATAATTGTTGGACTTCGCAAAAACTGTGCTAAGGATCATTATGAAGTCTCCAAGGATATACTGTAAGCATCAGTTTCTAAACTCAGCAAAGAAAACTTTTTGAATAAAGGTAACACCATCTGCTATAGTCTGGATGTTTGTTCCCTCCAAACCTCATGTTGAAATATAATTTCCAATGTTGGAGGTCGGGCCTGGTTGGGGTGATTGGATCATAGGGCAGATCCCTCATGAATCATTTAGCACCATCTCCTTAGTTACAATGAGTTCTTAGTGCACAGGAGAGCTGGTTGTTGAAAGAAGCCTGACTGCTCCTCTTCTCCCTCTTGCTTCTACTCCCACCACTTAACACACCGGCTGCTGCTTTGCCTTCTCGCACGATTGTAAGCTTCCTGAGGCCCTCATGAGAAGAAGGAATCACGCTTCCTATGCAGCCTGCAGAACCTTGACCCAATTGAAGATCTTTTCTTTTCATTTCTTTTTTTGTTTTTGAGACAGAGTCTTGCTCTATCACCCGGGCTGGAGTGCATCGGCACGATCTCAGCTCACTGCAAGCTCTGCCTCCCAAGTTCAAGTGATTCTCCTGCCTCAGCCTCCAGAGTAGCTGAGATTACAAGCACACGTTACCACACCCAGGTAATTCTTGTATTTTTAGTAGAGGCAGGGTTTCATCATGTTGGTCAGGCTGATTTCGAACCCCTGACCTCAGGTGATCTGCCCACCTCAGCCTCCCAAAGTTCTCGGATTATAGGCATGAGCCATTGTGCCTGGTATAAGGCTTTTTTCTTTACAAATTACCCAGCTTCAGGTATTTCTTTACAGCAACAAAAGAACAGCCTAACACAGCATCTGTTGACATTGGTGTTAACCAGCTTTGCCTGCCTGCAGGAAAGGGAATCAAACAGTCCTCATGAACTTCATACATTGACAGAAGCAAAAAGGGCCATGAAGAAAGTGGACAAATTTCTTACTTGCGTGACTGGTCAGGAATATGGGCGGAGTGGTTGGGTTTCTGTGACTTTCTATGTTTTGTTTTGTTTTTAAATAATTGCATGTTTTGGTTTCTAGTTTCTGCATTTGATAATAAAAGAGCATTTAGTGTATTAATTGATTTTTCTGTATGAAAAAGAAAAAGATTTCGCATGTCTTTCGTTTGTTTGTTTAGAGGGAGTTTTGCTCTTGTTGCCCTGGCTGGAGTGCAGTGGCATGACTTCAGCTCACTACAACCTCCGCTTCCTGGCTTCAAAGCAATTCTCCTGCCTCAGCCTCCTAAATAACTGGGATTGCAGGTGCATACCACCACACCCAGCTAATTTTTTGTATATTTAGTAGAGATGGGATTTCATGTTGGCCAGGCTGGTCTCGACCACCTGACCTCAGGTGATCCATCTGCCTTAGCCTCCCAATAGCATGTCTTTAAGAGTGGTGGTGACATGGTTTGGATCTGAGTCCCCCACCAACTATCATGTTGAGTTGTAATCCCCAGTGTTGGAGGTGGGGCCTAATGGGAGATAACTGGATCATGAGGGCAGAGTTCTGTGCCATATCCCATGATAATGAGTGAGGGAGTTATCCTGAGATCTGGTTGTTTTGTATTTACGTATTTATTTATTTAGAGGCAGAGTCTCGTTCTCTCACCCAGGCTGGAGTGCAGTGGTACAATCTCAGTTCACTGCAACCTTCACCTCCTGGGTTCAAGTGATTCTCCTGCCTCAGCCTCCTGAGTAGCTGGGATTACAGACACCTGCCACCACGCTGGCTAATTTTTTTGTATTTTTGGTAGACATGCGGTTTCACCATGTTGGCCAGGCTGGTCTCCAACTCCTGACCTCAGGTGGTCCACCTGCCTCAGCTTCCCAAAGTGCCGGGATTACAGGTGTGAGCGACCGCACCCGGCGATCCGGTTGTTTTAACAGCGCGTAGCACCTCCCCACTCTCTCGCTTCCTGCTTCGACCACGTGACGTGACTGCTCTGGCTTTGCCTTCCACTTTGAGTACAGGTTTTCCGAGGCTTTCCCCGCAGCCCAAGCAGAAGCCGCTTTTCTTCTTGTACAGCCTGCAGAACCATGAGCCAACGAAACCTCTTTTCTTTATGAATTACCCAGTCTCAGGTATTTCTTTACAGCAGTTCAGGAGTGGACTAATACATGTTGTTAATATGGGTGGGAGAAGGTGAATGGTTAAGATAAAACAGTGAGACCTTATGTGTTTAAATATGTATACCTTTTTAAATTTGAAAAGACGTGTCTCTCACAAGTTAATAAACATATTTTGCTACTTAGATGGACACAAGAAATACTATTTGAATATGCTAAGAGGCCTTAGAGAAGAAAATAGCACTAAGTAAATTGGTGTCAATCACAAGTGTTGGTCCTGATGAGACTGTTTCCCGATAGCTCATTCGTTGGATGGAAACAGCTGGTTTATGGGCTGCCTTGATATTGGGCATGTTTGTAACTGGTACAAGGTATGAAATCACTGTTTTCTGGGATTGGCGTAGAAAGAATATCTTCTATTCCTGTATGGCCTGAATGAATTTTTTTAACTTTTTAAATATATATATATATATATATATTTTTTTTTTTTTTTTTTATAGAGATGGGGGTTTCTCCATGTTGGCCAGTCTGGTCTCGAACTCCTGACCTCAGGTGACCCGCCCACCTCAGCCTCCCAAAGTGCTGGGATTACAGGTGTGAACCATCGTGCCCGGCTGGCCTGAATGACTTTGACAGTGGTAACTTTTTGAAACTCTGAAGTAGCTTGAAAAACCTGCCATTCTAACTCGTGGAAAGTAATGGAATTAAATTTGGCATTAACATGCTATGAATTTGACAATTAAAACACAAGCTTCCAGCTCCTCATCACCCATCCCTCAGGCCCTTCTCTTTTATTTTCAGGCCCCAATGTGAGGCCAAAGGAGCTCAGTCTGAGATTTATTATGTGTCCCAGCTGTTTGCTTCCGAGATCCATTCCTGCAGCTGTTCAAATGGCGCTGTTGTTCTTTTCTTAAAACTCAGTTTCTCATCCCATTCGCCAGCTGAGCTCAAACAAAGAGCAACAGATGACATATTTCTACAAACAAAATATGTTTGTTTTGTTGTAAATGCATGAAGAGATCAATAAACTTAAGCCAAACTTTGCAAGGCCAGAGGTGTTACCAAGAAAACGACATTATAGTCACTTGACAGAAAAAGAAAATGTTTGCCAAAGATAATAGAGAGAGAGCTCACATTTCCCCAGTCAACCTTCTGTAACCAAAGAGGAAAATGCAGCGCTGTGTAGAAGGAACACACTTCTTTGTGCCTTTGAAGCCAGTGGATTTCAGTTAAATGCCTATTATAACAATTAGGATTGCTTAATGTTTAATTATACATCAACAGAAACAACCATTATATTCATTATTTACTGAGGCTACTCTGCTATTTGTGAAATCATCCTCAAATACCATTTGGTTTACACTTCTCACTGTCTTTGAACAGTTAGTTTTACAAACAGATATATATATACTGGGCTTAAAAGATTAAATATCTCCATCTTTCCTGTTTACTAATACAATATTTATATAGTAGAAGCTTTCCTCCAATTAATCATACTATGTGAGTGTTTGATCTGGAAATCCCCTTTGAGCAATGGAGAAAAATATATGAGTGAGGTCAATGGATGTGTGCGGCAGATAGTAAGTATGCATTTGGAAGAAGAGCTCAAGAACCTACATTCAGGCATAACTAGAATGTGAGGAAAGGAAAATAAATGTTGCCTAGTGGAGGAGAAATAGGTTGGAAAGAGAAGTTTTTTTGTTTTGTTTTGAGACAGAGTCTCACTCTGTTGCCCAGGCTGCAGTCCAGTGATGCAATCTCGGCCCACTGCAAATTCCCCCTTTTTGAGTTATTCTCCTGCCTCAGCCTCCCAAGTAGCTGGGATTACAGGTGCCCACCACCACGCCTGGCTAATTTTTGTATGAGAAGTAATATATTCTTTCTATCAAGAAAAAGCCTCTTCCCATTGTCCTAAGTGAACTAACACAGAAACAGAAAACCAAATACCACAGGTTCTCACTGTAAGTGGGAGCTAAACATTGGGTTACATGGACACAAAGATGGAACCGATAGACAATGGAGGCCACTAGAAGTGGGAGAGACAGAGGGGGCAAGGGCTGAAAACTACCTATTGGATACTGTGTTTGCTACCTAGGCGACAGGTTCAATCATGCTCCATACCTCAGCATCCTGCAATATGCCCAGGTAACAAACCTGCCCATTGATTCTAAAGTAAAAATGGGGCCGGGCGCGGTGGCTCAAGCCTGTAATCCCAGCACTTTGGGAGGCCGAGACGGGTGGATCACGAGGTCAAGAGATCGAGACCATCCTGGTCAACATGGTGAAACCCCGTCTCTACTAAATATACAAAAAATTAGCTGGGCATGGTGGCGCGTGCCTGTAATCCCAGCTACTCGGGAGGCTGAGTCAGGAGAATTGCCTGAACCCAGGAGGCGGAGGTTGCGGTGAGCTGAGATCGCGCCATTGCACTCCAGCCTGGGTAACGAGATCGAAACTCCGTCTCAAAAAAAAAAAAAAGGAAAAAGAAAAAAGCCTCAAAAAATAAAATATATTTCCTGCCCTCTTGGAGTGTACTTTCAGGTTAGAAATAATCAACACACATGCAGAAGGAAAATCACAAGTGGCATATGAAATAGATAGTAATATCTGTGGAGAAAAATTTTAAAAACTTGAATATAGAGTAGAGGAAGAAATAACTATAATATTAAATAGGGAGTTAGGGAAGACCTCATATCAACCGTGATATTCAAAGAACTGAAGGAGTAAACCTTGAGGATAATACCTGGAGAAAGAAATTTGAGTTTAGGAAACAGCTCTTGAGGTGAAAGAATGCCTGTCATGTCCAAGGAGTAGCAACGAGGCCAGTGTGATTGGTCAGAGTGAGTGCAGTGAAAAGTGGTGAAGAACAAATGCAGAGAAGTAATTGGAAGGGGTCAGGCTGCTGAATAGAGCTAAGCCAGCTGTGCAGTGTGTACACTGCACAAAATGCCTATTGATGGAGCCACCTCTCTACTTGCCAACGTGTGACCTCTGATACAAGGTTGTATCTGTCAGTGTGGGTCAGAGCAATTTCGTTCTTACAAAGGCACTAGCCACATTATCAAGGTTTAGTCATACAAAGCTGAGAAGGCACAGAGGGGAGCCACTTTAAAAAAATTGACAAAAGTTACTTATAAGCTTCTAAGCCATGGTGATGACCTTGATTTTTTTTTTTTTTAATTTTTTATTGGATTTTAGGTTTTGGGGTACATGAGCAGAGCATGCAAGACAGTTGCGTAGGAACACACATGGCAGTGTGCTTTTCTTTCCTTCTCCCCTTCACCCACATTTGGCATTTCTCCCCAGGCTATCCCTCCCCAACTCCCCCTCCCACTGGCCCTATTTTAACTCAAGGGAGATGGGGGCCCACTAGGCAGTTTTGAGCCGAGGAGACATGACCTGTCTTGTTTAGCAGGAGCACACTCCCAGCTCTGCTGTGGATAAACTGAAGAGGGCGTGATGAGATGCTTGGAAACTCGCTAGCAAGTCATGAAACTTATCCAGCTTAAAGTTAATGATGACATAAGTCAGCGTGGTTGTAGCAGATACAGTAAACGTGGGAGTAGTGGATTCGAGGTGTGTTTTGAAAGTACAGCCAACAGAATTTCTGAATGGCATAGACTTGAGGTGTGAGTAAAACAAAATGATCAAGGATGATACCACGTATTTGTACTGATCAAGTGGAAGGATAGGGTTCTATTACTGAGATGGAAAGTCTCCAGAAAATCAGGATGAGGAAGGGAGGTGAACATAAGGAGGTCAGTTCTTGACATACAAGGTATGAGATGCTTCTTAGCCATCCAGATGGAGAGTTAAGTAAGCATTTGTATATATGAGTCTGAAGGTCAGGGTAGAAGTACAGAGGCAGATATAAATTTGAGAATCACTAGTGTGCAGATATCTTTAAAACTAAGGCTGAAGGAGGACCAGAGAGTAAGTGCAGATGGATAGAGAGAAGGTATTCATCATGAGCCTTGGGACTTTCCACAATTAAGAGATTAAAGAGATACAAGGTCTAGCACAAGGGGCTGAGAAGAAGCCAATAAGACAGAAAGAAAACCTGAAAGGCGTGAATTCCTGGAAGCCAAAGAAAAGTTTTCAAAGAGGACTGAGCTGGCTGTGAAAAACGTCAATTAATATTTACCAGGCATCTACCATAGGGCTTGGCAATATGAAGGGAAAGTTTGATCTTGCTGCAGCAGTAGAGAAAAAGCCTCATTAGAGTGAATTTAAAAGAGAACGAGAAGTGAGTAGTGGTGGAGCTAGAAGACTACTGGCTACTTTTGAAAGCAGTTTGGCTAGAAAGGAGAGGAAACAAATAGCACTGTAGCTGGGATTGAAATATATATTTTTTCAGATGGAGAAACAAAACAACTTCCTGCTTCACTGACAAAATCCAGTAGAGAGGAAAATTTTGACGAAGCAGAAGAAAGAAGAAAAACTGTTGCAATAATGTTTTTGGAAAAGCATGAAACATGGAATATATAGCACCTAAGCTAAGTTTAGCCTTAGCTGATAATCCGGTTGTGTATTCCACAGTAACAGGGGAAGACAGGCCAATGAACACAGATGCAGGTAAGTGAGTAATTGTGATGGTGGGAGCTTATGCAAGTTCTCTTTTGAATGCTTGAATGTTCTCATTGAAACAAGTAGTTATATCATCAGCTGAAAGTGAGGACAAGGAAAGATATACTGGATTTTTAAGAAGAGAGGAGAAAGCATAAAACAGTTGTCTAGAAGAGAAGGGGAATAAATTGACTAGACAAGTAGGGTATTATTACAAGGCAATATTACAGGCCAGCTGTTCTCAGCTAAATGGGTACATAAGATTAGTAGATTGGGAGGCAAATTTAATTAGGGCTGGAGTTTGGCCAAAATAATAAGTCAAAGCAGAAGAGAAACAAGAGAGTTAAGAGAATAAACAAAGGAGCCGTTCTAACGATTGACTCTACAGCTTAAAACAGGTACATTCAAATATGAGGACAAGAGGAGGTTTGTGACTGTGAAAAGGTGCTAAGAGTAAAGGTCCTGACCCAAGGGGTGGAGAATCGTTGGAGTAGAGGTACTAGAGAGAAGGCTCAGAGAAGGGAGGGAGATGCTTGAGATGAGATCATGAAGGATTTGTACTATTGGTGATGATAGTTGTGACCACAGGAGTGAGTGGGAGTGAAGGATACACAGGAGGTCATGGGACTGACAGGCATCTGAAGAATTTCTGCAGCAGTGTCTTCCAAACATGAGGGCTGCGCTTACCCGGGGTGTGTCTTTCAAACAAGACGGCTGCGCTTACCTGGGGTGACAGTGGGAGAGGCTGAACATGTGTTTTTTTTTTAAAAATAAACTTCATTTTATAATAGTTCTAGATTTTCAGAAAAACTAAGATAGTACATAGTTTCCATATATCTCCTACTCAGTTTTCCCTATTATTAATATTTTACATTTGTGTGGAATATGTTTCCATTAATGAACCAATATTGATAGAGGATTACTAAAGTCTATATTTTATTAATATTTGGTTAATTTTGATCTGACATCTCTCTTCTGCTCCAGGATCCCATTAGGATTTCACATTCATTTAGTTGTCCTGTCTCTTAGGCTCCTCTTGGCTGGGCTGGCTTTTCAGACTTGCCTGTTTTTTTGCTGACCTTGACAGTTTTGGGCACTACTCATCAGCTATTTTGTAGAACATCCCTCAACTGAGATTTGTCTGATTTGCTTTTTTTCTCAGGATTAGACTGTAGTTATGGGTTTTGTAGAGAAACCCACTATACAGAGGCAAAATTTCATTCCTATCACTTAATCAAGGAAACATCCTACAAACAATGGCTTATCACTATTGATGTTGACCTTGGTTACCTGACTAGGGTAGTTTCTGTTAAATTGCTCCACTGCAAATTTACTCTTTTATTTCCGTTTCCATACTCTATTCTTTGGGATTAAGTCAGGATCTGCAGCTCACACCTAAGGAGGGAGTTATGCTTGAGTGCAGAGTAGTTTCCTAAAGTATCTGCAATTCTTGTACATGGAAATGTTGTCTATTTTTCTCTATTTGTGTATTTATTCAATTGTGTTTATATCAACATGGATATTTATTTTATACTTTGGGCGTAATCTGTTACTATCTTACTTATTTTGTTACACAAACTACTTCAGCCTTAGGAGCTCTCTCAGTTGGCGCCTGTGATCTTCTGACATACCGCCATTGTTGTTTGTTTCCAATCATGTACCTTCTAGTACTAAAATGTGCTCCAGAATCATCTTGTATTTTTCCTCTGGCAGTCCTAGAATGAGCAATTTCACCAAAGAACCCTGGTTCCCTTTATTAGAGAATGGAACTAGAAACAAAGATCTGGACTCTCAGTTTGCTTTCTGCTGCTGGTGTGCTGTCGCTTCTAGGCTCTCTCAGCTGAACATTTCTGTATTTCACTGTCTGTATCTATAACAAGCTAAACACAAATTCATACTGATGTTACATGGATCCTTCTAGCCCTCTCCACTTGCTTATTTGAAACCTCCATCCCTGTTGGGGCATTTTCAAACTGGGAAGTGTTATTAGCATTTAGAGGGCAGGAGTCAGGGAAGTCAAATGCCTTGCCATTCAAGCAATAGTTTCACATAAATGAAGAATTTTCTCTCCTCAAATAACAATGATACCCGCAATGGAAAACACTGATGTTTATGGACATCAACAACCCCAAGAATTCCAATAGAAATAGCATTGTACAGTCACACTGAGTAGGAAAAAAAGCTTCAAGTTATGAGGGGAATAGCTACTGGCTGGGTGAATGCTTTGAGGGTACAAAGTAAGAGAAAGACTGCTGATACAACCAACTGGTTTGATTGTATTAGTGGCCTCAGTTCTTCAGTGCCCCCACCCTCTGTGTTCAGGTTGTTTTGAATGCGGCCCTGCAACTTTTCCTATCAAGGATAGAATCTATTTCCCCATCCCTTGAATCTGTGTTGGTTTTGGGAATTGCTTTGGCCAACAGAATGCAGAGAAGTGATGTCATATTGTTCTGAGCCTAATCTTCAAGCAGCTTTGGGTGTTTCTGCTTCTTTTCTCATGCCTCCATGAGAACACCATGAAAACATGCCCCAGCTGGTTTTAAGAGGATAAAAGAAACAAGGCTCAGAGCAAAATCACTACAGCCAAAGCCATCCTGTATCAGCCAACAGCCAGCTGACTCCCAGATATATGATGAGAATAATCTAACCTAGAGGAAACTAACCAGCTGAACCCAGCTGTGGTAGGCAGCAGCTTACATGGCTCCCAATGGTTCTGGTACGCATGTGCTTATGTAACCTTATTTATTTGGATGTGGGCTGGACCTAGGGACTTGTTTCTAAACGAATAGAACACAGCAAATGTGATGGAATGTCCAAGAAGTTATAAAAGACTGTGATTTCTATCTTGTTCACTCTTTCTCTCTCTCCTGTGATCCTTGTCCTGGGGGAAGCAAACTGCTGTGCTGTGAGTAGTTCTGTGTAGAAGCCCACATAGTAAGGAACTGATGTTTCCAGCAAACTGCAGCAAGAACCTGAAGCCAGCCACACCTATAAGAGTGAGCTTGAATGTGGGTCAACCTCCATCCAAGCCTTGAGATGACCATGGTCTCAGCTAACACCTTAATTATATCCCATGAGACACCCAGAGCCCGAGGACCCACCTGAGCTGCACCTGATTCCTAACTCATGCAAACCGAGATGATAAATGTGTATTGTGTTAAGCTGCTGAGTTTTAGGATAATTCAGTAGGCAGCAATATATAATGAATACGCCAGCTTAAATTGCTAACCTCCTGGCCTGAGAACTAAATAAATGCTCATTGCGTTAAGCCTCTGGCCTTGGAGATGGCTTGATATGCAGCATTACTTTGGCAATAGAGGGCCTGGCGTGGTGGCTCATGCCTGTAATCCACTTTGGGAGGCTGAGGTGGGCAGATCACAAGATCAAGAGTTCAAGACCAGCCTGACCAACATGGTGAAACCCTGTCTCTGCTAAAAATACAAAAATTAGCCCGGAGTGGTGGTGTGGGCCTGTAATTGCAGCTACTCAGGAGGCTGAGGCAGGAGAATCACCTGGACCAGGGAGGTGGAGGTTGCAGTGAGTAGAGATCACACCACTGCACTCCAGCCTGAGTGACAGAGTGAGACTTTGTCTTAAAAAAAGAAAAAAAAGACTACTGATACCACCTGAAATTAACGCCTAGCTCTTTTAGAAAGCCAAGAGAAGGGTGACTTGAAAAGAGCAACGAAGAGAATAACAGATGCCTTCCTTCCTTCCAAGCCCAGGGATATGTGGAGAATATTAAAGTTTTAAAGCTGATTTTTGTACACAGTTTTTGAAATAAATTTCAGTGTTTAATAGCTTCATCGTGCATGTAGAAACCATCTTTTGTAGCTTATAAAACCTCGCAAATCAAACACTGAGGCTATTAATTATGACAGCAGAAAAAGACAAAATGTTCTTCTCACAGCTGAGATGCAATTCTGTTCTATCAGCTGACATGCAATATTCATTCTTTTTTTAAAAAAAGTTTTTGGTCTAGAATAACAGAGGACCAAAAACATATTGGAAAATCCTGTCATATGACTATGCTACATTTTAAGCAATTTGCTTTTTAAAATGTAATTTAGAAAGATAGCTTTGTGTAGAAAGAAACAAATGGAACTAATCTACAAGTATACCAACACGGCAACATTTAAGGAAAGCCTGAAATAATAGATCATAGGTAGACAGACTAATATAAATTACAAACTGATAGAGTAGAGAGAGAGGGAGAGAGAGATATCCTCTCCATCCACAGGAACACATGTATGAAAGAATAAAGTTATTCCAAGTGTAGCAGATGCTCTTTGCTCTCTGCCCAGATTCCCTCCATCCAGCAAGTGTAGCCATCCCCCAGTTGCCATGAGTTTTGGCTGTTAGATGGTTCCAGGCTGCTTACTTCTTTGGAGACTGCTCTCTTCTGTAAGGGAGTGTCTTGCTAGGAGGCTCTACATTACCACCTTTGGAGTGGCCTGCCAGGTTACCCAGTGTCTTGGCCCTTGCCTCAAGGTGGGATGAACTCTGTGGTTTGATTCATGCTCAGATCTCTGTGTGTGATCAGGCTGAGGTTAATCTCCAGCAGAGATAACATCCTTGCTCAACTCCTCTCCCTGCGGTTCTGCTTCCTGCTTCTCCTGAGAGCCTTCCCTTAATATCACATGCATTGGAATCCTCTTCTCAGCCTCAGAATGAATCCACTGATCTGCTTCCAGGGACGCTAACCTATATCCCAAACAATATTCTTATCTTCTCACAAACTTAACTTTTAATTCTACTTTCTGGATGTTGGAGTCCTCACCTGGGTGTGTTTATAGGTATGTTTGTTTCTCCTGGACAGTTGTGCCCAGGACAAAAATACTTAACATTGTGTTCCTGAGTCATGTTGGCTGGTTTTATCTTATTCTGTGCCAACCCTCAGTCCCACAAGGCATCTTCTGCATGGTCTTGTCACGGACTGAAAGAGCTCAGTCAGCAGGAAAAGAAAGATTCCCCAATTCATCTTGCAATATGGCTATGTTAGACTGAAA